TTTACATTCAACAATAAAGATTTTTAAAAAATAAATAAATAAATAAATAAAACACACAGATGATACCATAGAGCACTTACAGATAAAAATGTGTGCGGTGAACATAAAAGAAATTCATGAAAATAAAAAACCCAGTTCAGGATGATGGTTATGGGGGTAGGGTAAGGATTAGGGAAAGGGAATGTGAGGTTGTTACTATACTGAGAATTTTTTTTTTATTCTCACCCAAGGACATTTTTCCATTTTTTATTCAGATAGAGTGGGAGGGACAGAGAGAGAGAGAAACATCAATGTGAAAAGAACCCATTGAGTGGCTGCCACCCGCATGACCAACCAGGGCCGGGGACAAACTGCAAATGAGGTATGTACCCTTAGTGGGAACCAAACCCAGGTCTCTCTGGACCGCAGGTCGACATTCTAACCGCTGAGCCAAACCGGCCAGGGCTATACTGAGAATATTTTTAAAGTTGGGCAGTGGTATTATGCTACTCATTATATCTTTTTGTATGTCCCAATTATTTCATAATAACTTAAATTTTTTTTTCTTCCAGTGACCATGAAAGGGGTGTTTCCCTCTCCTGCTAAAGGGGCGGGGGGGGGGTGCTGGCTCCGGCCCTGGCCGGTTCGGCTCAGCGGTTAGCCTGCGGTTCCCAGGAAGGGCACGTACCTCGGTTACAGTTTGTCCCCGGCCCTGGTTGGGTCGTACGGGAGGCAGCCACTCGATGTTTCTTTCTCTCTCTCTCTCTCTCCCTCCCTCCCACTCTATCTGAACAAAAAATGGAAAAATGTCCTCGGGTGAGGACAAAAAAAAAAAAGAAGAGGGCCTCCATAGTGCTTTTCAAGGACTTTGCTCCTGCAGGCGGCCCCTCTCCTGAAGAATCCTTCTACAGTCTTTATAACAGTGTGAGGCTTGAGTCCAGCCAGTGTGGCTCAGGTGTTGAGCATCCACCCATGCGCCAACGGGTTGCCAGTTTGATTCCCCATCAGGGCACATGCCCAGGTTGTGAGCCCGATCCCCAGTGGAGGGCATGCAGGAGGCGGCCACGCAATATTCTCTCTCATCGATGTTTCTCTCTCTCTCTCTCTAAAATCAATAAAGAAAAAAAAATGTGAGGCTTGTTTTTCATTTTGTTGTACAGTATTTTTCATGGAAATGAGTTTTTCATTTTAGTGCCAAACCTATCAATCTTTATCATTCGAACATCTTCTATCACCCCCCTCTATTCTTTGTTTATTTATTTGTTAATCCTCACCCAAGAATATATTTTTCCATTGATTTTTAGAGAGTGGAAGGGAGGGAGAAAGAGAGAAACATCGGTATGAGAGAGACACATCAATTGGTTGCCTCCTGCAGGACTCCAACCTTTGGCCTGGTATTGAACCTTCAACCCAGGTATATGCCCTTGACCAGGAATTGAACCTGAGACCCTTTGATCCATAGGCCTACACTCTAAGTGCTGAGCCAAACCAGCCAGGGCTCACCCCTTCGCCCCGCCCCTTTAAACACTTCCTTTATACCAAATCCCCTAAAGCCACTGCCCACTTCCCTGTTCTCCCTCACAGCCACATGGGAAGGTGCGGTTTATCCTTGTGCCTGCACTGTCTGCTCCCTCCCCTCCCCAACCTCAACTTTGCTTCTGTGCCCACCTTTGAAACGACTGTCGACTGTCGCCAAGTTCACGGGTGACCTCTGTGCTGACCCCCAGTTGCCAGCAGAGCAGGCTCTTCCTCCCTGAAACCTTGACCCGCCTGTTCTCCCACCTCGCAGGGCTGCACCGCTGCATCGCTCGTCTCCTTTGCTGGGTTGATCCTGGGACCCCTTTCTTTCTCCCTCTCCGTCTCCTCTTAGGGGATTTTCACCAGTTCCGTGGCTGCGAATCATCTACATGCTCCCAGACAGACATTTCCAGCCTTGACCAAGATATCCAATTGCCTATTTGACCTATATCCACATGGATGCCCAGCAGGTAGGATGAACATACAATAATAATAATAATTATTATTATTATTTTAAATCCTCACCCGAGGACATTTTTGCATCTATCTCCAGCTAAAGCGGGAGGGAAGGAGGGAGGAAGAGAAAGAGAGAGAGAAACATCGATGTGAGAGAGACACATTGAGTGGCTGCCACCCACACCACCCCATCCGGGACCGGGGACAAACTGCAACCGAGGTATGTGCCCTTAGTGGGAACCGAACCCGGGACTCTCTGGTCCGTAGACCAACGCTCTAACCGCTGAGCCAAACTGGCCAGGGCTGAACATATAATTATTATCCAAACACTTTTAAGAGCAAAAACAAGTGCAATTAATTAACCTGGAACCACAGGCATAACTCAAACTGTCCCAGGCAAACTGGGACATACGCTCACCCTAATGTGGCATTTAAAACGGAAATCTCCAATCAATCCTCAAATCTGTCCCTCACTCTGATTCCCACTGCAGTAAGAACCATTTTCTCAAGACAAAACTCCAGGAACTTGAATGACAAACTCCACCGCCCTCGAGCCTCTCATTTCCCTCATCTCCCATGCAACCTGTCCACAGATTCCGTAACATCTCCCTGCAAAACACGTCTGAGTTCTGACCGCTTTCCTCCACAGCCAGCACCCTGGACCAAGCCACGTAGGTCTCTTGCCTGCTGACCAGTCCCCCTACTCCTGCATTTGTCCCCCTATACTCTGTTCTCCACACAGCAGCCAAGTGAGCCTTCTAGAGCTTAAATCAGACCATGGTACCCCTCAATTAAAAGCCTTCCACAGTGAATGAATTATTGCCATCCACAGTAACACAGATGAATTTCACAAACATGAAGTTGAACGAAAGAAGCAAGACACAAGAGACTACAGAATATACGGTTCCTTTATGTAAAGTTCAAAACCAGGAAAGACAGATCTGTTACTAGAAGTCAAGAAAGTATTGTTTCTTGATCTGGGTGCTGGTTGCAACCAAGGGTGTTTGGTTCACGAAAAAATTCATTAAGCTTATGTACAGTTATGACGTGTACTTTGCGTACTACATTTCAACACAAAACACTCACTTGTTTATTGTCTAGACCACACTCTACCACCAGCTTCAGGCTGCAGCAGTAGGATCTTGTCTGCTTGTTCATGGCTGCATCCCCAGAGCTGGGTGCGTTCTGAGCACACAGGAAGCACTTGATAAGAGTGCAATTAAAGCGGCCAGACCAGCTTCGGGAGAACCTAGGAGGCAACGGCAGTGACCCTCAGAGTGATGACTAGTTCAAACCATGGTTAGAGCCAGAACGAGGGGAGGAGAGCTAAGAAAGACTTGGGCTTGCTGATTTAATTTTCCAATTCTTACCTCTCCTAAGATTAAAACAAGTTTGTTTGTTTTTTCTTTTTCTTTATTGAATTTAGAGAGAGAGGAGGGGAGAGGGAGAGAGAGAGAGAAACATCAATGAGAGAGAACATCGATTGGCCGCCTCCTGCATGCCCCCCACTGGGGATCGGGCCCAAAACCTGGACATGTGTCCTGACCGGGAATCGAACTGGCGACCTCTTGGTGCATGGGTCGATGCTCAACCACTGAGCCACACTGGCCAGGCAAAAACCAGTCTTTACACAGGCCCTAAAGCCCTTTGTGATCTGTCCCCACTTCCTCTCTGACCCTGTCCTGCTCCTTCCCTTCACTTCTTCCACCCCAGCCCCACAGATCTCCTGCTCATCCTGAACCTTCCAACTACTCCCACCTCAGGAACTCAGCACTGGCTGTCCCTCTGCCAGGACACCCTTCCCAGATGTCCACAGCGGCCCCCCCCCCCCCCCCGCTTCCTTTCTCACCGCTCTAATCACTCTGACATTCCAGGTATTCCACTGTTTATTCACCACCTGTTTCCACACTGCTAGTTTGTGAGAAGCAGGATTCCATCCCTTGCTTTTAATCACTGCCCTTCAGGGCTGCAGGTGGCATGGACATCCTGCACTCAGACAAGGGCCCACCCACGTGGACACCCACACTGCCCCTGTCCTGTGCCAGGTGTCCCCAACTGCTTCCCCCAAAATCCTCGGGCACTGACAGCCTCCAGCTGGATCCCCCACACCAGGCTGGCGGGCGCCAGCTCCTGGCAGAGGGGCCAGCGTGTAATTAGAAACTCCTCAAGCTCCCTAATTGCCAGTTCTTCTCCCCAAACAGGAGGCTGGTGCTATTCTGAGCAGCCCTTGTTGCAGGCGGCCTGAGGGCTGGAGAGGAACTGGCCGAGGGCAGAGCCAGCGGGCTTGGAGGTGGCCCTGGAGACGCCTGGAGAGGTCAGAGGGGACTGCACGTGGAGGAGGGCTGGTGAGTGGCCAGAGACCAGACGTGGCACAGAGGGCCGCTGCTCCTGGGGCCCAGCCTGAGCCTCAGTCCAGTCTGCTCTGCAGCCTCCTCCCTGCCTTCCTCAGCCCCCCTGCTCCCACCGGTGCCCGGAACAGTGACATCAAAGCAGCCCATTCATTCTTTATTCGGGTAGCATAAAAATCACTACAAAAACTTTACAAAAGAGCCATAAGGAGAGCTAATGCCACCCTCCTCAGCCCCTGAGACCCCAGGCAGAGGAGGAAGAGAAGAGAGGAAGGAGAGGGAGTCCTGGCCCCGTCGGTATCACTCAGGACCAGCAGGGAGACTGAGGTGACAGAGGTGGCGGCTGGTGGCCTTGGGCAGGTAATGGCAGAGGCAGTGGTGGGACGCTCGACCTCCGCGCGAAGGGTAGAACAAGGCTGACCCTCGTGTCTAACCCCAGGACAGTGCTCTGCCCCCAGGGCCTCTGTGTCCTCCCCGCAGCCGGGGCATCCAATCCCTCCTGTCCCTCCCTCTCTGGTAAACAAATGTGGAGGTACCCCAGCAGACTGAAGGAATAACCCACCTACCTTGCTGACAAAAGTGGGTCCACAGCTGCCCCTCCTCCCCACCCCAAGCTCCCCCAGAGGAGATAGAAAGAATGGCTCCCCGGGTCCCCCAGACTGCCCACCCAGGCCCCGCCCCTAATCCCACAAAGCTGTTTGGAAAGAGTCATGAATCGAGAGGCTGGTCCAGGCAGGGACTCAGGATGCTGGAGCCCACAGCCCCTCACTTGGGGCTGCTAGGTTGGGGGTAATCCTCCTCTGAGAGGGGCGCCAGTTTCAAGTCAGGGCCCAAGAGCTTGTCTCCGCGGGGGAAGGCTTTGTGGTTCGGGAAAAGGTCCCTGCTGGCAGGGGAGTCCTGCTGCTCCTTGTGCTCCCGCTGTGCACCAGGGTTGGGGTTCCTCACACTGCCCACAAAGAGGGGCAGGCTCATGGTGTCTTCCAGGATGAAGAAGAGGAAAGGGCGGTTCACGCTGAAGGAGAGGGACATGCGGGTCATGGCAGAGCTGGTGGCTGCGGCCGCCTCCACGCCGGCCTCACCGAGCTCCAAAGCAGACTGATGCTGCACACTGGACACCACCAAGCTCTGGTCAGAGATCCCACGCAGGTCTGGGGCCTGAAACAGCTCCTGCAGGCCTGCCCGGGGCAAGAGATGGCTGGTCAGAGCTGCCTTCTGCCCCACGGTCTTCCTGGACCCTCCTGGGAGGGTATCTGGCATCCTGGCCAGGAAACACCTTGAACCCACAGATCCCTGGTTAACTCCTATTTAACCCTCAAGTATCAGCTTAGAGGTTACTTCCTCCAGGAAGCCTTCCCTGATCCCCTGCTCCAAAGTCCAGACAGGTGCCTTTTCAATGTTCTCCCAGGTGAACTAGAGAGAAGCCCTCTGTCTTATCACTGATGCTGAATTGTAAGTACCGATACCTCATCTGCCTGCTCCATTAGACCGAGCTCTTTGTACATAGAGGGCTCCCAGTGCCTAGTACAACGCCCCTTGCAGGAGAGCCAGCGAGGCTCACGTACCACTCCAAGCTCTCCACTGGGATCCTTTACAGTGCTGTCTTGGGCAGAGCAGGTCCTCATTCCCTGGACTGCCCAGCACACCCTAGAACAGATGGTCCAGGGACTCATATCAAACCCTCTCACCTTCTTAAGCCTCAGAAAAGGCCAGGACACAAAGCTAGCTTTGTCTCGGACCCACTGCCGGCTGGGCTTCCTTCTCATCCACCCTGCCCAGCCTGACCTAGGTGGCTGTCCCACGCCCTGCCTCCTTACCCATCTGGCTGAGGGTGGCCACCAGGTCCAGCTGATATTTCAGATGCAGCTTAGGCAGCTGGACCTTGGTGATCCTCTCCTCAAGCAAGGGCTGGTGCAGGATGTCCCAGCTCAGGTTGGCCAGCACCTGGGACACATTCCACTCAAAGTAGGTGGGCACAATGACCACAAAGCTCATGTTGTTCTTAAAGGGGAAATAAGCCACCTACAGACAAACGAAGGAGACAATGTGAGGACCAGAAAGCACCCAGACCTAGGTGGGTCTGGGCCAGCATGTGCTTCTGAGACCGATGGACCTGGGTTCCAGTCCATCCATCTTACGTATGAGCTCAGCCGCCCCAAGCCTCCAATTCCTCACCAGTGAAGTGGAGTACCACTGCGTGCCCACACTGCAGGCGGACGTGTGACCCAAGGAGAACGCCTTTGAAGCTTCCAGCAGAATGTCTGCACGTAGGCTGCGCTCAATAAATTCAATAAATGGTGCCTCTCTTTCTCCAGCTGCTTCTACCTGCTAGCCCTGTGACGCGGGGTGAAGAATCCCGTGTTCCTCTCTGTTTCCCCATGTATACAATGGACTTGTGATGTTGGTTTTCAAACTCCCCCGGGTTCCGCAGAGCGGCTGCTGCAAAGGGCGGTACTCTCTCCACCCCTCTCGCCTTCAGCAGTGACTTTGCCCAGCCCTGTGACTTGGGGTAAGATTTCATGCGAATGGGGTTTCTGCAGCTAAAGAAATATGAAAACGACTGGGCTTGATGGTCTCTTGCAACTTGGACTCCTGAGGCTCAGCAGGCCCAGACGGCAGGACCCCAGCGGGCGGGAGGAGGACCGGCGTCTGGCTGCCTGGCCAGCCCGAGGGCCTGAGAACAGGAAGGCCGGGAACACGAGGAGAGGGGACAAAGGGTGAGGGCGGAATGGGCAGGACGGAGCCTGGAAGGAAGGAGCCGCAGGAAGAACACGGGTGGGGTGGAAAACCAGACTGTCCTTTCGGATGAACTGGAGAGAAGCCACTTGCTGCTCCAAGGGCCGGCCTCGTCCACAGCCCCACTCAGGCTGCAGAAGTAGATGTGGTCTGTGTCATGCTGGCCTTGGGAAACTACCCACACTGCCACCTCAGCCACAGGCACCAGTCCTTCTGGCCCAGGGGTCAGTGCCTGAGCCAAGGGGACCACATTTAGGCTAGAAGCAAGGGAGCCCACACCTGAGACAGCTTGGCACAGCACTATCCAATCAGAACGCTGATAAATCCACCCCAATCAGATCCTCCCTTCTAAGAAACACTGTATGAGAGCTCAGGTTGCATCTCCCAGGCTTGGGAGTGCTGAGGCCCTGAGTGGCTCCATGGCTGCTGGGGTGCCCCACAACCCATGTGTTCTTTTAATAAAACCCCCATAACCAGAGGTCAGCAGGGTCTCAACTCAACGCCCCCTCCTCAAAACATGCTCCCTGACCACTCTGGCTGAAATACCTTCTCCATCACTATAGATCAGTGTTTTCTCCCTCTCGCTAACTGCGTTATCCTGCTGATGGTGTGTGCTCGTGTACTTCATGTCTTCACGCCCGAGAACAGGATCTGGGCTCCTTTGTGTTCCACTGAATCCCCAGTGCCTAAAACAGCAACTGGCACGGAGCAAATGCCCAATATCATTTTGTAGAATGAATGAACCTAGAGAGCCTGGAGCCTCAGCCTCCCTGGGTGGGGGCATAGTGAGACTTTTCATAGCCGTATGCCCCAGGGACATAACCACATGGAAGGTGAGGACACGCCTCCCCACCCCAGGGCCTGCTTCATAGCCTGCCTACTCCCTCCCCCCTCCCAGCATCCAGGCTCGGCCTGGGCAACCAAGGGACCTGAATCTCAGGCTGCTCCAGCAGGGTCCAGCGCAGAGGGTACATGTGGGCTTGCATCATGTCCACTGGCACCGTGAACTGCTCGTCCAGGTGGAAAGCTTCTCTCTTGGTGAGGCTGGGGTCGAACTTGCTCTTCCAGAAACCTGCATCCAGCAGAGGGCAGGGGCCACATAGACTGGGACCAGGGTGGGTTCTATACCACCAGCCTCTTCCCCATCCCTCTCTGAACCCATGTGAGAGACAAAAAGTGGGGCCAAGACCACAGAGGGTGCTGTGCCAGTTAATACCCAGTTGATCTGAGGTCTCTTTAAAAAAATCTGGGCATGCATTTCCCCATGCCCTGCCATGCTCCCAGGAATCTCTCACTGGGTCTTCTCAGATTCAGTTTCCTCCTAGGGTACTGTCTCCACAACAGCCCCATCCAGTTCCTGGGAGCCCTCCCTGCCGCACCATGACCTGTCTCCTACCCTCTCCCAAGCCACAACCCAGAGAGCCCCCTGCCTCCTGGCTCAGCCCTGAGGAGGGGGAAGAACTGCTGCGCAGCCAGCTCAGCCTACAGGGCAGAGGTAGGAGCTGCCCAGGTGGGGACCTGAGAAGAGGAGGAACGCACCCTGGAAATGGATGGCATTGAGGAGGAGCAGCACTGTGTCATCTGACAGCTCCGAGAGGAAATCCTCAATCTTCCCCTCCGTGGTCTCCTTCACCCATTTGTTGATGTTCGCCAAGTCATCCCCCTCCTTTCCCATCAGGTTCATGGGCTTTGCACCAAAGAGATGTTCTGATTGTTTCAGGAAGTCCTCTTTGATGGGGAATCCTACACAGAAGAGGTCACAAGTGTTCCCAGGGCTCAGGTTCCACAGGCAACAGTGACCAAACTGGCTATCTGAGGCCGAGCTCATCTCCGTCACCCTGTCCAGCCCCAGGGCACTACCCGGGGAGCTCCCCACCACCAGCACCTACCTTTCTGCAGGTACATTCTGGCAGCCATTCGCAATGCCCCAGGGCCCAGGTCCTGGCAGAGACGGCTCAACAGGTGGGGGAGGCAGGGCGCCGGGTCCGCATGCAGCACCTGCCGCAACCTCTGCAGTGTTTGGTTCTGAGCACCTAGAGGGGACCGCATCGGCTGGGGCCCAGACAGGGGCTCTTCCCCAGCACCACTGCCCACCCAGTCCCTCTCGAGTACCCGCCGTGAGCACGCCCACTGAGCTGGTCTGAATGACAGGACTCCCCACGTCTACTTCCATCTCTGCTGCTGAGAGTCTGGATGACCACGCCTCTCGAAAACTGTCATCCCTCCCTGAACCTCAGTTTTCCATAACAAGGCCCTCCGGTCCAATAGAGACATTACAGCTATCACACTCTTTCCTGAAAGTCACCAGAGGCAGGTTCCAGGGCCAATCCCTGGGAATCGGATTCACAGACTTGAGGTGGGCCCAGGAATCTGCATTTTTACCAAATGTCCAAGTGACCCTCATGGAGGAGTAATTCTGAACTACTGAGCCTTTCAGCTCTGCTGGTCTGGACAGGTGCTGCCATGGTACCTAGTGCCAGGTGAGACAGTGCCAAGGCCACACTCAGAGGTGACAGGATGAGGTTGGGGCTGGTGGACCGTTGGGCCACCAGGGAGAAGAGGTCTGTGGTGAAGGCCATCATGGCCTTGGCCAGCCTGCGAGTCTGCTCCCGGGTTGGGGCCTCACTGCAGTCTCCTGGGGAGTTCTTTGAGACAGTCTGACCACCAGCCTCCTGCAGGGATATATCAGGGATCAGTGGGGGTCAAGGGTCAATTCCAGGTTCTGTGAAGCTCTCCTTTCAACCCCCGGAGCCTGGGTGCAGCAGGTCCGAGTCCCAGTCCTGATACATTCTGGAGACCAGATACCTTCCCCATCCCTCTCACCCTCTCCCTTCAGTCCTCAGCCTCAAAGTCACACCTCCGGCTCCCTCACCCCTGCCGATTGGTTGCCCTCCCTCAGGCCCCGCCCACTCTTTCCCAGCCCCACCTGGTTGTACCTGGTTGCCCAACTTGAGGAAGCTAAGCGGGGATAGCCTCTCCTGGGATGGCCCGATTATTATCTGAAGAAAGGAGGAAGCAGATGGAGAAGGGCCCTTCCCACAGCTCCCCCACCCGGCACAAGCCACAGAGGTGAGGCCCCTCTTCCCAGTACCTGCTGGCCCACAGGCTCCAAGGCGCTCACTGGAGAGAACTGTTGAAAAGGGGTGAGGAGAGATGGAGGAACCCCCTCAGAGCCAAATCCTCCAGCCATCGGCCCTTCTCCTCTTCCCCCTCAGACCTCTGGCCTCTCCTATACCCACCTCCTCTCCCCACCCAGACCCAGCCCACAGCCCAGGCTCACCACCAGGCAGGGGCCTTGCAGGCAGGACAAGCTGAGCACCAGGAGCCCCTGCAGCAGCGCCATTTCCTGTGTGGGACAGGAAGCCTTGGTTCCCAACCGCCCCCACACGCTGTCACCAGTTATCCGACTGGCGACCTGAGGCCAAGGGCCTGCACCCACTGTGGAATCCCACCACGTGATCCCTGGCTGGCAACGTCCTGAGCCATCACCGCGGAGACGACAACGCAGCTACAGCACTCCCCGCCCAAAACACACTAGCAAGTGGCTCTCAGCTTCGAGGGGTGGGATTTCCCCCGATTGTTTTCCCCTTTATGTGCCCCGGTTTTTCACATTTCATGCACTGAGACTGTTTTGGTTCATAGGGGGAAAATATCAAAACAAAAAAAGTCCTCATTTTTCCAGGCCCAGCACTGAGTCAGACCTGGGTTTGAATCCAGACTGACTCTTGCCAGGGGACCTTGGACATCTCCCTGAACCCCTCTGGGCTTCTTATCTTGTAAAATGGTGGCACGAGTCCCTACCTCCTAACCACAGGCGTCGTGAGGACCAGAATAAGGCAGGCTTTGTGAGCCAAATACAACGCCTGGCACTCAGTCCCTCGCTGGCAGCCTAGCCCAGGCCCCTCTTCTGAGAACCCGGCCCTGCTGGGCTCCCTCCCCACATCTCCTGTCCAAGTGGCCCACCTTCTCCGGCTGGTCTGGTCTGGTCTTGCCCACAAGGGTGGACAGGCTGTTGAGGCCCTGAGGTCTCAGCAGGGGTGGTGGGGTGTCCCGAGAACCACCTTGTTGACCCAGCGGCGTAACCCAATGAATGACTGGCCAGAGCCACCTTTGGACTTACGGAAACACTCTGCTCCTGCCTCCGGGAAGCCAGGCTGGCAGAAGGGGATGGACAGGTCCCACACACTCCGCCCCCATGTCAGGGCCAGTCCTTCCGGAGGATCCGTCTATCGCCCCTGGCCCCAACCCTCATATACAAGGGCCCTGGGCCGGGGTTCTGATCCCCAACCTGGACTTTTGAATCTTCCAGGGTTCTCAAGAAAAGACCTCGCATTTTTCAAGTCCCTGAGACCTTCCCCTTGTCGCCGCACCTTGGTCCCGCATCACCCCAGGAGGCTGGAAAACAACAGGCCCCCTGAATCAATCCAGCCAGACCTCCCCAGCCATGTGGGCAGCTCTCACCTCCTCCTGCCCGAGGAGCAGGCCGTTACCACTTCCCTCGTGCCTCTGCCGGCTCCTCTCTGCTGCACACAATGTCCCTCTGGGACACTTAGGTGCTCCCCACGCTCTGCCGGGGCTCAGCCAGCCCAGAGGAACCCTCCCCTCCCACCAGGACCTTTGCTCTCAGCCAACCCCTGTTCTGGTTGCTTTCTCCTCTGGTAAATATTGACATGCATGTCCGATTAAACATTGATATTGGGGCCAGAAGCCCCTTTCCCACCAGGCATCCACCTGAGACAGCCACCTGGAACCACATAGATTTGGGTCCCAACTGAGCCTGAAGAAAAGAGGTTCAGGAGATAATGGAGGAGACTATCATCTGGAAGAACAGGGGCCTTCCAGAGATCCCACGAGGTGGGGGGTTATTCAGACTCAGAGAGGCTATATAACCTGCCCAAGACACAGAGCTGGCCTCAATCACATCCAGGTTCCCACTTCCCATGTCCTTTGCTCTCCCTGACAACTGCCTGCCATCCCAAGGGGAGAGAAGGGGAGGCTGCAGGAGCATATGTAGGGAACCCAGGATAGGATGCCCATACCAATCCTTACATGCCCGGGATCCTGGCTGGCTGCCTCCAGCCTGGGTCAGAAGGCAGGGGATGGAGAGAGATGCTGAGGGATGTAGCCTCTCTCAGCATCCTACCTCGTCAGGAACAACGCCTCCTTACCCTCAAGGGTGAGGGTTCTAGAACCTGGCGTGGGGCTGCACAGACCAGAAGCCCTGTCCCCTGTGCTGCCTGGAGAACAATGATCAGGCTGCCTCCCCACCTCCTGCCTGCTCCTCATCCTCTCCTCACTGCCCTGCAAGCTGTAGGATCTCAACTTTCCCCCGCTGACACCAGCGTCAAGAAAAGCCTCACTCAGTTCCATGGCTCTTCCACAGGATTTATTGGTCGTATTTACATCTATTGCGAATAGTGAGGAGGCAGCAGGAGCCCGGTCCCAGACCTCATCTCTGCTCCAGAACGAGAGGACCAGGGATGCCATGGTCTTCCTGTCCCCTGGGAAAGACCTGAGATGCAGAGATGGGATTCTTCTTGCCCCTTCTCTCAGGGCCTTGGACCCCCCCACACCCCTTCACAGGGGTTCAGGGCTCAGGGGCTGACTCCTCAGGTCAAGGCACAAACACTGTGGTTAGGGGTAGGCAGGCACCAACTAGCCCAGTCCATCTTCCGTTCCCTGGTCCTGACGTCCTTCTTATCCTACTGGTCCCACACAGGGCAGGGCCCAAGGCCCTTAACTCCTGGACCATGGCCGGCCCTCCTTAGAGGATGGAGACCAAGCACCATGGGTCCTAGACTGGGGTGACTTCTCTGTCCTTGGGGACGGGGGCAAAGAGGTGAGCAAGGGTGGGGGGCTTGGCTGGAGACTGGGTGGGCAGGGCCAGTCTCCCTTCCCCTTTCCAAGCTCCCCTGTCCTGTGTGGAGCCAGAGGGCAGAGCAGGGGTGAAGAGAGGGCATGATGCTTCCCCAGCTCCTTCTCTGGCTTTCTGCTGGCTAGGAGTAGCGTCTCCCCAAGCCATGAATGAGATCCCTACTGACAGCCTTGGTGGCTCTGGGGGTTCAGGAGCCGGGACTCCCACTCTGCCCGAGCTGGCAGGCCGTGTGGGTACACTGGGCATGGGGCCTGAGGCTTGCATTGAAGGGGCTGCTGTGGAAACAAGGGTGAGGGGGTAGACTCCCGGAGGATGTCTGCCTACCCAGGCCTGGCCAGCTCCCACATCAGCCTATGCCAGGAGGCGGATGACCCCATTGTCTGAGCCCAGCAGGAGGTGGCGTTTGGTGGGCAGCAAGGCCAGGCTGGTGAGTGTGCCACGGAAGTTCTCAGAGCTGAGCTTGGTGGTGGCCTGGGAGGGTGGCTCAAGCAGAGAGCAGACACCGATCTTGTTGGCCACGGTGCCAGTGATCACCTCGCTGCCGTACAGGTCGAAGGTGTGGATGGGGTCGGATGCGGACTTGTAGTGGTGCATGGGCTTCTGCTCCAGCTCCTTCCAGACGGTCAAGGAGTGGTCGGAGGAGGAGCTGACCAGGACACTGCCCTCCACAGCCTGCTCAGGGAGAGGAGAGAGTCAGCAGGGCCCAGGCCTCTTGTGTGCCCACCAAGCCACAAGGTCTTCCCATTTTCTCCCACAGTATCCCCCAGGAAGACAGTGTCCTGAGCAGCTGACAGGCTGCCATCCTCCCACATTAGGCTAACATTAGTCAATATAAATATATTAAAGTGCAGTTAGCCCTGGCCAGTTTGGCTCAGCGGTTAGAGCATCGGCCTGCAGTCTGGAGAGACCTGGGTTTGGTTCCCGCTAAGGGCACGTACCTCGGTTGCAGTTTGTCCCCGGCCCTGGTTGGGTCGTGTGGGTGGCAACCACTGGATATGTCCCTTTCACGTTGATGTTTCTCTCTCTCTCTCCCTCCCACTCTTTCTGAACAAAATATCGAAAAATGTCCTCGGGTGAGGATAAAAAAATAAAATAAAGTGCTGTTAGCCCTGGATGGTTTTGCTCAGTGGTTAGAGCGTCGGCCTGCGGATCAATGAGTCTCGAGTTTGATTTCAAGCAAAGGCACATACATGCCTCAGTTGCAGTTCGTCCAGGCCCTGGTAGGGGTCGTGCAGGAGGCAACCAGTCGATGTGTCTCTCTCACATTGATGTTTCTGTCTCTCTCCCTTTCTCTCCCTCTCTTTCCCTCCCACTCTTTCTGAGGATAAACAGAAAAATATCTTCGGGTGAGGATTAAAAAAAATGAAGTGCTGTTAACCTAGTCATCACTACAGTCTGAGCATTTACTATGTTCAGGCATTGTGTTAGGCATGCTGAATTACCACATTTAATCTTTGTAACAACTCTATGAGGTGAATGCTGTCATTGTTCCCATTTTACAAAGAAAACCTGAAGCTCAGAGAAGTTAAGTAATCACACCAAGGTCACAGAGCCAGTAAGTGGCAAAGCCAGGGTTAACACCCAGGCCAACTCCAGGGCCCTCTGGTAAAGTCAGAATTGGAAAGTGGGAATTGAGAGGCATCTGCAGCCCAGAGTCTCCTGGAGTGGGGGTGAGGCCCAGAGGGAGCCCCGGCAGCCCGGCAGCCAGCAGCCCGCCCCCAGCAGCGTCAGTGCCGGTCCCCTGGCCTGGCCTCCACTTAGGATAGGAAGGGAATCCCAGCTGCCAGGAAAAGTCCTCCCACAAGTAGCCTTGTACCTCCCCTCCTGTGCCTCCCTGAGCAGTTCCTGAGGTCTGCCCGAGAATGGGGTAGGGGCAGGATCCCCATACTCGGTCTGCCCCGCCCCCACCACTGCAGGGGGCATGGACTCTGCTCAGTGATCTGGGGGCAGTAAACAGCCTCCCAGCTGAGCTTTATTTAACCTGAATTGGGTCATGGACAGGACCTGACCCCTGATCCTTCAAGCAAGACAAATATGGACAAGGGTTACTCATTAGAACATCTCCAGGGAGCAGCAGGGTCAGCTCAGCCCCTGGTGCCCGCCCCCACGGCCTGCCTCCTGCCAAGACCCCTGAAGTGACGCTGGCTCCCGACTCTCCCTTATACCTGTCCTTGGGTAGATACAGATCAGCGTAAGCCTGTCCTGTGTGGGCCCTAAATAGAGGTGGGGGCCCGGAGCAGTGAGATGGGGAAGAGCCTGGTCCGTCACCTTGATCTGCAGGATGTCCCCCTCATGGGCAGGCCAGCCCCGTAGAACCAGGCCCGTGCGGGTGTCCAGGAGCACCATGAAGCCCGAGGAAAAGCCGGCCACGACGCTTCGGCCACTGGGACTAACGGCCAGGGAGCGGACAAGCCCGGGGTTCAGCCCGCCACCCAGGCGGAACTCGTGCTGCAGGCAGAGGAAGACAA